TGCGGTTGCTGTGGTTTTCGCTGCTGTTGCTGTTGTTGCTGTTGATGCTGTTGTTGCGGTTGTTGCGGTTGCTGCGGTTGCTGCGGTTGTGGTTGTTTGTTGAGGAGCGCGTGGATCGCCGAATGCATATTGGTGATCATGTTTGTCTGCGCCTCGATCTGATGCTTCAGTGTATCCACTGTTCTCCGGAGAGTAGTCGTTTGCTCTTCGAGGATTTCAATCCTGTCGGAGGGTGGGCAGATCCGGCTGGTGGCATGTCTAATGGCCCAGGTGATATAGTTCAGGTCCGTCTGGGTGTGGGTGTCCTGGGGGACAATGCTCGGGTAGAGGTAGTCAACTCTCGGCTGGTAGGGGTCGTTGTAGTCGGATTCTGTTGCAAAGGTCGAGGAGAATTCCTGTTCCTGAGCTCCGGATGGGGTTGGGTCGGGAACCTGAGTGTTCTTGTTCTGCGAGGGGGCTGTCCCTTGTTGGGAAGACTGGGTGAAAAAGGACTGGAGCGAAGCTTGCTGCGACATGACTGAATGTCCAGTTCTTCTGGCGGCGTAGAGGGATGTTTCGGAAAGGTTTCTTTTCCTTCCTTTCGGGAGGCCGAGGCTGGAGAATTCTTCGCTGGAAGCCAGTTTTCGTAGGTTTCTTTCGCTTGGAACAACAAAACGCGACCGTACGATCGGGGACAAAGTGGCTCAGCCTGGTATGGTATACCAGGGTAAACCGAGAGGAGTAAAATAAAGTGTTTTTGAAGCGAGGTTTATTGTCAGGAAGTTTTGCGAGCCTTAGCGAGCAAGGAGAATACAGAGGTTGCGTAAAGAAAGAAGAAAAAAGAGAAAACATATAAAGACACAAGACAACGCCTCCTTATATACCCAACCATAGTCCAACGATAACTAATACCTTCGCATAACAGAAACTAAAAGAACATAACAGAAACTCCAATTACAAATCCTAATCCCACTGCGCAATACCTCCCCTTCCCGTTCCAATTCATCACCTAACCGAAATCCATAGTTGCCGTTACATGTCCCTCATATATCCACCGGTACCAAAGCACTCCCCTCCGGCGGTTTGACACTCCGGGGGTTATTATTGGGGTCGAAAACGTGTTTTTTATGACTCCGTATTTTGGTCGTATTTTGGTCGCACCACACCCCGCGGGTGCGGTCCAGAGTTGACGTTAGCGTGCAGAGGGTATTGGGGTATCTACTAGCCTTTTCTCATAAATGCTTGGCATGCCCGTAACACCTTTACCGCTTATGGACGAGCTGCGAGACCGAGTGACAGGCGCGGTTATCTTCTTGAAGATTGACCTGAAGGAAGGTTACAACCTCATCAGGATCAAAGACGGCGACGAGTGGAAAACAGCATTTCGTACACGGTACGGGCATTTTGAGTACCTCGTCATGCCTTTTGGGCTGGCAAATGCGCCGGCGACCTTCCAGAACATGATGAATGATGCGCTGAGGGAATTCCTGGATCAGGGTGTAGTAGTATACCTTGATGATATCCTAATATATAGCAAGTCTCGAGAGGAGCACAGAGAGCTGGTCGGCAAAGTACTTAGTAGGTTACAAGAATACAACCTAGTCGCCAACCCGAAGAAATCGTTCTTCGAGCTCACCGAAATCGAGTTCCTCGGATACATCCTTGCCCCAGCAGGCGTCACCATGGCACTGGATAAGGTTATGTCTGTCACGAATTGGCAAGCCCCGCGCAGCGTTAAGGAAGTACAGATCTTCATGGGCTTTGCCAATTTCTACAGAAGGTTTATCCATAATTTCTCCGGGGTCTGTAAACCCATTACCGATTGTCTCAGGGGTGATGCTAAGAACTTTGTCTGGTCTATGACGGCCCAAGCAGCCTTCGAAAAACTTAAAACCCTGTTTACGTCTGCGCCGATCTTGGTACATTTCTCTCCAGATCGACAGACTATCGTGGAAACGGACGCAAGTGATTTTGCTATGGCCGCAATTCTATCCCACGTTATTGACGGAAAGACTCACCCTGTTGCCTTTTATTCTCGAAAACTTAACCCAGCGGAACTCAACTACGACGTCTGGGATAAGGAGATGCTAGGAATTGTGTCAGCCTTCAAGCAATGGCGTCACTACCTCGAAGGACCTAGCCGAACGGTCCTCGTTTATACGGATCATAAGAACTTGGAATATTTCTCAACAACCAAGGTTCTTAACCGACGACAGGCAAGGTGGGCTGAGTCTTTGGCGGAATTTGACTTCAAGATTATTTACCGCCCGGGAACCAAAAATGGGAAGGCAGATGCACTATCGCGACGGCCGGAGTACCGTCCTGAAGGGGGAGGCACGCTTGGGAAACAGTCGGTAGACAGGTTCTTTAAGCCCGGAGAATTGGCGGAGGAAGAGTTTGTGGTATCAGCGGTGTCGCTTGCCTCCAAGGGGGTGATTGACTGGTCTAAGAATTTTCTGGATCATGTCAGGCAGGCGGCATCGGGAGACCCGACATGGGTAGGATTGAAAGAGAGAGTTGAGCAGGGAGAGAAGCTGGGGGAAATGAAGGATATCGTTGAGAAAAACGGGCTACTCTTCTATAAAAACCGACTCTATATTCCGGCAGACGACCGTATCAAGATCCGAATCGCACAGGCAGAACACGACTCGAAAGTGGCAGGACACTTTGGACAAGACAAAACCTTGGAACTCATCACGCGCAACTTCTATTGGCCAAAAATGAACGAGTGGATTGATGATTACGTTCGGTCATGTGACGAGTGCCAGCGCAACAAACCCAGCCGCCATAAGAAATACGGTGCGCTTCTACCACTGTCCACACCACATTCTGTCTGGCAATCGATATCGATGGACTTCATCGTGCAGTTACCGGAATCAAAGGGATACAATCAAATTTGGGTAGTAGTCGATAGGTTCTCGAAGATGTCGCATTTTATCCCCTTAGTAGCAGAAACGACCGCGCAGGATCTAGCGAAGATATTCCTCGGTCAAATCTGGCGACTCCATGGGCTGCCTCTTGATATAGTTTCCGACAGGGACGCCAAGTTTACTTCAAGCTTTTGGGCATCCCTTATGGAATTATTGGACGTGAGGATAAGAATGAGTACGGCTTTCCACCCTCAGACCGATGGGCAAACAGAGCGGGTCAACCAAACCCTCGAGCACTACCTACGAGTGTTCTGCAACTACGAGCAAGATGATTGGGCAGAGCTACTTCCATTGGCGGAGTATGCTTACAACAATTCGGTTACCACCGCCACGGGTCAATCTCCGTTCTATACTAATTACGTTTACAACCCAAGAACCAACTGGCCGACAGAAGCCGAAGTGGTCAACCCAACCAGTGACCTGTATGCTCACTTTATTCGAGGAGTTCACGACTCTGCTCTTGCTCGTTTAACAGACACCAGGGAGAAGATGGGGAAATACTATGATCGGAAAAGGGACGAACCGCCTAACTTCAAGGTGGGAGACATGGTTATGCTTAATGCGACCAATATCAAGACACGTCGCTCTACTAAGAAACTCGATCATAAGAAACTCGGCCCGTTTAAAATCATTCGACTAGCTGGAAAACGAGCCTGCGAATTGGAACTGCCACCACAAGTCAAAATCCATAACGTGTTCCATATTGAACTCTTGGAACGTTACCGACAAAGCAGTATCCCAGGCCGCGAACAACGTCCCCCGACTCCCGAAGAAGTCGATAAGGAAGGAGAGGTTCTGTATGAAGTGGAAAGTATTGTGGGAAGCCGGAAAAACAGAAGAGGATTAGTGGAATACCTGGTGAAATGGCGGGGCTATTCGATGAGCGACTGCACGTACCAAATTATGGACGCTATGAATGAGGAGGTACTTGATGTAGTCCGCGACTTTCATCGAAGGAACCCCAAGGCCGTGAAGGATCAACGCCTGAGACTATAGAGGTACCCTACGGGGCTAAGTCCTTCCCCTCCACAGACACCGCGGGTGATATGTGGAGCAGGTTTACTGGAACCATAGTCTGTCAGAAGATGTCCCGAGACGTGACACCCTGGAAGGGGGGTAAGCTGTTACGGGCATATTAAGTATTACGAGAAAAGGCTAGTAGATACCCCAATACCCTCTGCACGCTAATGTTAACTCTGGACCGCACCCGCGGGGTGTGGTGCGACCAAAATACGACCAAAACACGGAGTCATAAAACACGTTTTCGACCCCAATAATAACCCCCGGAGCGTCAAACCACCGGAGGGGAGTGCTTTGGTACCGGTGGATATATGAGGGACAGCTGGAAGCAATCAGATCGAAGATCGGATCACTCGGAGCGAATCGGCGCAAGCCACCAGCCGACCGAGTACCTATCGGCGGTACCTATGGGCATGAGAGGACTCTGCTATGTGGGAAAGCGATGTGGGAAAAGGCCTGAGTAGGTAGCTTTGCTATCCGAGACCTACGAGTAGCCGGCGCTGACGATTATCCACCAGATGGCCGATGGAGAGGAAACATCGACAGGGAAACGTGCATTAGAGTGGGTAAATAGGTTGAGGGGTTTTAGCGGGTTTAGGAGTTTGGGTAACGGACTTAGGAGTTAAATGTTCTTGGTTGATTTTCAGGGTCTCGGGCAGGCCCCGAGTGTATTCTGTATTATTAGTAGACGGGGTCCTCGAGACATAAGCGAGGGATATAAATACTGTGTCATTCACTGACTAGCCAAATCATCATCGGCGAAATCAGAGTCTTAACAATATAAATCGTTGATACTCGAGTTACAACTTTATTTGACGATACTTTTGGAAATACTTTACTCTTTTGTGACTTCGCACTCTACCTGAACTATTACGTCGAAGACGGTCGAATACCATCCGCTAACTCTAGTGAATCTTTGTTGATAACGTAGCTCGCGGGGCCCGTATCGGATCAAGGAGAATTATACTCGACGTTGACTGAAGAGACCTTGGAGACTTCTACCTTTGTAGCTGTTAGCCGAACTCTGAGCTTTGCGTAGTGTACTCTTGTGATCTGGTACGCATCCCTCACATGAGTGAACTCAGAGACAGGTTGTTCAAGGCCAAGATCTTCACAAAGATAGACCTGAAGAACGGCTTCAATTTGATCAGGATAGCTGAAGGTGATGAGTGGAAAACCGCTTTCAGAACCCGCTATGGACTGTATCAGTATAATGTGATGCCTTTTGGTCTATGCAATGCCCCTTCCGCCTTCCAGGCAATGATCAATGATGTGCTAAAGGAACTACTGGATGAAGGAGTGGTAGTCTATATCGACGACATCCTCATCTACTCGGAAACTGAGAAGGAGCATGAGCTACTGGTCAAGAAGGTTCTACAGAATCTTAGGGAAGGAAAGCTCTGTGCCTCGATCAGTAAGACATCCTTCCATGTCCGAGAAGTAGAATACCTAGGTTATCACATCTCGGAAAAGGGAGTATCTATGTCAGAAGATAAGGTGGAGGCAGTTAAGGAATGGCCGGTCCCTGAAAATATCAAGGCTGTACAGGCATTTCTCGGATTTGCAAACTTCTATCGCCGCTTCATTGAAGGCTTCAGTAAAGTTTGCAAACCATTAACTGATCTCTTGCAAAAAGACAAGAAATGGTATTGGACGGCAGCACATGAGCAGGCCTTTGAAGAACTCAAGAGGCTGTTCACAAGCGCTCCAATCCTTCTTCATTTTGACCCTAGTAGGAGAACGGTGGTCGAGACAGATGCCAGTGATTTTGCCAAGCGAGCGGTGCTCTCTCAGTATGGGGACGATGGAAAGCTACATCCGGTGGCATTCTATTCTAAGAAGTTCTCCCCTGCTGAGATCAACTATGACATTCATGATAAGGAAATGGGAGCTATTGTAGCCTCTTTCCGGGAATGGGAACATATGCTCAAATCTTGTGAGCAAGAGATCACGGTTTTTACAGACCACAAGAACTTGGAGTGCTTTAATTCTACCAAGGTTCTCACTAGGCGGCAAGCTAGATGGTCTGAGGACCTCGCAGGCTACAATTTTAAAGTTGTCTACAGACCGGGAGAAAAGAATGGCAAGACTGATGTGCTATCTAGGCGCTGGGATCACCGCCTTGGAGAGGGAGGTGAAACTCTGCAGCCGGAGCCACAGATCTTTTTTAGGCCAGGTCAATTGGTTTTGGATCCTGCAAAGCTAGTGGCTGTCAGGGTGAATCAATTGCAGAATACATTCTTAGAGTGCCTATATGCGGCAGCTAAAGAGGATAGTTTCTGGCAGGAACTGCACCGCTCCCTGGTCGAAAGGAAACCAAATTTGGACCAGAACTTGTCGGTCAAGAACGGTCTCATCTTCTATAAGAATAGATGGTATATACCCAAAGACAAGAAGCTTCAGATGGAAATACTGTCCGATACCCATGACTCTAAGGTGGCTGGTCATTTTGGCCAATTTAAGACACTAGAGCGGGTGAAAAACAACTTCTTTTGGCCCAACATGGATAAGGATGGTGAGGAATATGTCCGGAGCTGTAACAGCTGCCAGAGGAATAAGACCTCAAGACACAAGAAGTTTGGTATGCTCCAACCGTTGGAGATACCCTATCGGCCATGGACTTCCATCTCTATGGACTTCATTGTGGGATTACCGGAATCTAGTGGGTTTACAAAGATCTGGGTAATAGTGGACCGTTTTTCGAAAATGGCACACTACATCCCTCTTTCTACCCTCAATAAAACGGAAGATTTGGCCAAGTTGTTCTTGAAGGAAGTTTGGAGACTCCATGGTTTACCTGATGACATAGTCTCGGACAGAGATAGCAGGTTCATCTCTCACTTTTGGCAATCTCTCATGAGTCTCCTCAATGTGAAGCTGAAGATGTCCACATCTTTCCACCCCCAAACGGACGGTCAAACAGAAAGAGTTAACCAGACCCTGGAACATTACTTGCGGAGTTATTGTTCATATCAACAGGATGACTGGGCAGAACTCTTGCCTTTGGCAGAGTATGCATATAACTCGGCGGTCTCTGAGTCTACCAAAGTATCGGCTTTTTATGCCAACTATGGTTATGAACCCAGGACCAACTGGCCGGCCCCAAAGGAAGGAGTAGAATGGAACAATCCAGCAAGTGAGGTCATGATATCTCAATGGGAATCTATCTGGCAGGCTATGAACGCCAGCTTAGGTAAAGCTAGATTAAGGATGGCCCGGTGGTATGATGCTCATGCCCTGGCACCGCCCAAAATCAAGCCCGGAGATGAAGTAATGTTGGACCGGCGCAATGTGCAAACAAAGCGGCCTTTGGGAAAACTGGATCAGAAGAAGATGGGACCCTTTAAGGTCTTAGAAGCTATTGGTACTCGTGCCTACAAGCTCTCTCTTCCCCCTCAAATGGGAATCCACCCGGTCTTTCATGTCTCTCTTCTGGAACCTTACAGAGAACCAGTAGATCCTGAGAGAAGAGTTCCACCACCGGAACCTGAAGAGATTGAAGGAGAACAGAACTGGGTTGTCCGAGAAGTAGCTGATAGCCGGGTCAATAAGAAAGGGAGACGAGTGGAATACTTAGTGCTGTGGGAAGGTTATGAGAACGAAGATGCTACATGGGAACCTTGGGAGCATCTCCAGAAGAGTGCTGAAGAAGCCCTTCGGGATTTCCATATGAGGTATCCTAAGAAACCCAAGGACAAGCGGATTGTTGGGGTGTAGTTTTCTTTAGGTTTTCATTCCTTGCATATCACGGAATTTCTTGTCACATAGAATGGATGGTAATAGAATGGTTATAGACCTCGGAGACCAAGATCCTGGAAGAGGGGAGTGGTGTAACGGAGCCATTTCAACTGTCTGGTGTATGAGTACACACAGGGCCCGGTTACATGCTGAGAGTTATTGTTAGAAGCCAGTTGCACGGTGATATGCAAGAACCGGTAGTGTGGTTAGCTACCAGCTGTTAGAGTAACTACATTCCGGGCGCTAGGAAGGGGATCTATTCATGGGAGCAATGACTGACGAGTGTATGCCTCGCCAGTGACTAGAAGACCGGCCAGAGTGAAGCTCTGATTGCCCGGTGATCCTCTGTGTCCTCTGAGCATTGAATGTCCGCCGAAGGGGCAGGGACTATGCTAGGGAAGTCTACAATAAGCGAAAGCTCTACAGCAATGATTAAGCTTACATCTGAGCGGCAGCTGTTAGGGATGCGTACCAGACCACAAGAGTACACTAGGCAGAGCTCAGAGTTCGGCTAACAGCTACAAAGGTAGAAGTCTCCAAGGTCTCTTCAGTCAACGTCGAGTAAGAATCTCCTTGATCCGATACGGGCCCCGCGAGCTACGTTATCAACAAAGATTCACTAGAGTTAGCGTATGACGCTTCGACCGTCTTCGACGTAATAGTTCAGGTAGAGTTCGAAGTCACGATAGAATAAAGTATTTCCAAAAGTGTAGACAAATAAAGTTGTAACTCGCGTATCAACGATTTATATTGTTAAGACTCTGATTTCGCCGATAATGGTTTTGGCTAGTCAGTGAATGACACGGTATTTATATCCCTCGCTTATGTCTCGAGGACCCAGTCTACTAATAATACAGAATACACTCGGGGCCTGCCCGAGACCCTGAAAAACAACCAAGAACATTTAACTCCTAAGTCCGTAACCCAAACTCCTAAACCCCCTGAAACCCCTCAACCTATTTACCCACTCTAATGCACGTTTCCCTGTCGATGTTTCCTCTCCATCGGCCGTCTGGTGGATAATCGTCAGCGTCGGCTACTCGTAGGTCTCGGACGACAAGGCTACCTACTCAGGCCTCTTCCCACATCGCTTTCCCACATAGCAGAGTCCTCTCATGCCCATAGGTACAGCCGATAGGTACTCGGTCGGCTGGTAGCCTGCGCCGATTCGCTCCGAGTGATCCGATCTTCGATCTGATTGCTTCCAGCTGTCCCTCATATATCCACCGGTACCAAAGCACTCCCCTCCGGCGGTTTGACGCTCCGGGGGTTATTATTGGGGTCGAAAACGTGTTTTTTATGACTCCGTGTTTTGGTCGTATATTGGTCGCACCACACCCTGCGGGTGCGGTCCAGAGTTGACGTTAGCGTGCAGAGGGTATTGGGGTATCTACTGGCCTTTTCTCGCACTCCCGTAAATACTTGGCATGCCCGTAACAGCTTACCCCCCTTCCAGGGTGTCACGTCTCGGGACATCTTCTGACAGACTATGGTTCCAGTAAACCTGCTCCACATATCACCCGCGGTGTCTGTGGAGGGGAAGGACTTAGCCCTGTAGGGTACCTCTATAGTCTTAGGCGTTGGTCCTTCACGGCCTTGGGGTTCCTTCGATGAAAGTCGCGGACTAGGTCAAGTACCTCCTCATTCATAGCATCCATGACTTGGTACGTGCAGTCACTCATCGAATAGCCCCGCCATTTCACCAGGTATTCCACTAATCCTCTTCTGTTTTTCCGGCTTCCCACAATACTTTCCACTTCATACAGAACCTCTCCTTCCTTATCGACTTCTTCGGGAGTCGGGGGAAGTTGTTCGCGGCCTGGGATACTGCTCTGTCGGTAACATTCCAAGAGTTCAATATGGAAGACGTTGTGGATTTTGACTTGTGGTGGCAGTTCCAATTCACAGGCTCGTTTCCCGGCTAGTCGGATAATCTTGAACGGGCCGAGTTTCTTATGATCGAGTTTCTTGGTTGAGCGACGTGTCTTGATATTGGTCGCGTTGAGCATAACCATGTCTCCCACCTTGAAGCTAGGCGGTTCGTCCCTTTTCCGATCATAATATTTCCCCATCTTCTCTCTGGTGTCTGTTCAGCGAGCGAGAGCAGAATCATGAACTCCTCGAATGAAGTGAGCATACAGGTCACTGGTTGGGTTGACCACTTCGGCTTCTGTCGGCCAGTTGGTTCTTGGGTTGTAACCGTAATTGGTATAGAACGGAGATTGACCCGTGGCGGTGGTAACCGAATTGTTGTAAGCATACTCCGCCAATGGAAGTAGCTCTGCCCAATCATCTTGCTCGTAGTTGCAGAACACTCGTAGGTAGTGCTCGAGGGTTTGGTTGACCCGCTCTGTTTGCCCATCGGTCTGAGGGTGGAAAGCCGTACTCATTCTTATCCTCACGTCCAATAATTCCATAAGGGATGCCCAAAAGCTTGAAGTAAACTTGGCGTCCCTGTCGGAAACTATATCAAGGGGCAGGCCATGGAGTCGCCAGATTTGACCGAGGAATATCTTCGCTAGATCCTGCGCGGTCGTTTCTGCTACTAGGGGGATAAAATGCGACATCTTCGAGAACCTATCGACTACTACCCAAATTTGGTTATATCCCTTTGATTCCGGTAACTGCACAACGAAGTCCATTGATATCGATTGCCAGACAGAATGTGGCGTGGACAGTGGTAGAAGCGCACCGTATTTCTTGTGGCGGCTGGGTTTGTTGCGCTGGCACTCATCACATGACCGAACGTAATCATCAATCCACTCGTTCATTTTTGGCCAATAGAAGTTGCGCGTAATAAGTTCCAAAGTTTTGTCTTGTCCAAAGTGTCCTGCCACCTTTGAGTCGTGTTCTGCCTGCGCGACTCGGATCTTGATACGGTCATCTGCCGGAATGTAGAGTCGGTTCTTATAGAAGAGTAGCCCGTCTTTCTCTACAATATCCTTCATTTCCCCCAACTTCTCTCCCTGCTCAATTCTCTCTTTCAATCCTACCCATGTCGGGTCTCCCGATGCCGCCTGCCTGACATGATCCAGAAAGTTCTTAGACCAGTCAATCACCCCCTTGGAGGCAAGCGACACCGCTGATACCACAAATTCTTCCTCCGCCAATTCTCCGGGCTTAAAGAACCTGTCTACCGACTGTTTCCCAAGCGTGCCTCCCCCTTCAGGACGGTACTCCGGCCGTCGCGATAGTGCATCTGCCTTCCCATTTTTGGTTCCCGGGCGATAAATAATCTTGAAATCAAATTCCGCCAAAGACTCAGCCCACCTTGCCTGTCGTCGGTTAAGAACCTTGGTTGTTGAGAAATATTCCAAGTTCTTGTGATCCGTATAGACGAGGACCGTTCGGCTAGGTCCTTCGAGGTAGTGATGCCATTGCTTGAAGGCTGACACAATTCCTAGCATCTCCTTATCCCAGACGTCGTAGTTGAGTTCCGCTGGGTTAAGGTTTCGAGAATAAAAGGCAACAGGGTGAGTCTTTCCGTCAATAACCTGGGATAGAATTGCGGCGATAGCAAAATCACTTGCGTCCATTTCCACGATAGTCTGGCGATCTGGAGAGAAATGTACCAAGATCGGCGCAGACGTAAACAGGGTTTTGAGTTTTTCGAAGGCTGCTTGGGCCGTCATAGACCAGACAAAGTTCTTAGCATCACCCCTGAGACAATCGGTAATGGGTTTACAGACCCCGGAGAAATTATGGATAAACCTTCTGTAGAAATTGGCAAAGCCCATGAAGATCTGTACTTCTTTAACGCTGCGCGGGGCTTGCCAATTCGTAACAGACATAACCTTATCCAGTGCCATGGTGACGCCTGCTGGGGCAAGGATGTATCCGAGGAACTCGATTTCGGTGAGCTCGAAGAACGATTTCTTCGGGTTGGCGACTAGGTTGTATTCTTGTAACCTACTAAGTACTTTGCCGACCAGGTCTCTGTGCTCCTCCCGAGATTTGCTATATATCAGGATATCATCAAGGTATACTACTACACCTTGATCCAAGAATTCCCTCAGCGCATCATTCATCATGTTCTGGAAGGTCGCCGGCGCATTTGCCAGCCCAAAAGGCATGACGAGGTACTCAAAATGCCCATACCGCGTACGGAAGGCTGTCTTCCACTCGTCGCCGTCTTTGATCCTGATGAGGTTGTAACCTTCCTTCAGGTCAATCTTCGAGAAGATAACCGCGCCTGCTACTCGATCTCGCAGTTCGTCCATAAGCGGTAAGGGATACCTGTTCTTGATGGACACACGGTTAAGTCCACGGTAGTCAACGCAAAGTCGGAGACTACCGTCCTTCTTCTTCACAAATAGGATTGGGGCTCCTGCCGGGGATTTGCTCGGCCTAATCTTTCCCAATCGCAACATTTTGTCCAGGTACTCCCGAAGCACCTTCAGCTCGACTTCGGATAGGGAGTAAACGGGTCCCCATGGTGGCTGCTTCCCTGGTTCGAGATCTATCGCATGGTCGTAAGATCGATGCGGTGGTAATTTGTCTGCTTCCGATGGTAGGAAGACTTTAAGGAACCCATGGAGCCAAGAGGGAAGAGTTTCGCGGAGGTTGACCGATTCATCTTCCAAAAGGCAAATGCTACCGATGAATTGGGCCTCCGGATCGTCCAATACACCCTCGTCCATTTCTATTTGAGGTTCCTTGTCAGTGAAGCATCGACTCTTGCAGTTCTCACCATCGTAGGAAACTTCCCCATTTGCCCCTATAACCGGTTTGTGTTCTTTCAACCACCAGTTCGGTAGTATCGCATCGATGCCAAGTGTGAGAGAAGCGATTTCGAATGATAGTTGTGTTTGATGCCCCCTTGACATTATAATTAATGGTTGTGTAAAGGCGTGTCCCGTGCCCTTCATAACTTCTCCCGTAAATCCAAATACCCGGGCCGGGACGTCTCGTTTCACCTTCGGGACCTCAAAACTATCAACAAAAACCGCAGACAAAACAGGACCAGTTGCACCAGTATCCAACAACACCTTACAAGGTAAACATTTTTCCGCAAAACAAAGGATCTGATTAACGATAGGTCGAGGACCGTGAATAGGTTCCTCCAAAATTTTCTGTTTTTTCTCCGGTTGGGATGCTCTCCCTTCCTGCCTTTTTCTTTTCATATTTTTTTTGTTGTTTTCCGTCAGTGATAACATAGCAATCTGGGGATACTCCTGACCTGACTCATCAGAGTCCCCTACTGAAAATCCATATCGAAATCCATCTCCGATTCCGATCCGCGTTCTCGTACAAACGCTTGCCCACTGGTGTATTCCGCAGCAGCCGTAGCAGCCGGCTTTCTAGCACGGTGCCTCATTCGCTTTCTCCAATTCTTCCGACCATGCGACCATTCGCTGTTATCATCGTCATCGTCGTCGGAAGGTTCCGGGTCTCCCCCAATATTACCTCTCGGTGGGTTTCGGGGAGGTTGATTTCCACCATTCCCGCCGACGGGGGCAGTTCCCACCGGTCTCCTGCCACTATTTCCCTGCACTGAGCCGGCATCCTCCGGTTGCCTGCCTCCATCTCCTCCTACCGGGCCAGCGTTTCCTCCTACTGGGCCAGCATTTCCTCCTACTGGGCCAGCATTTTCGGGTTTTTTGCCATTGCCAACAGGAACCGTTTGGGGTGCATTAGGGTCCAAGGGAATACTCACCATGGAGGGTGCTACCGACATATGTTGTCGTAGTCGTTCCTCCATCTCGGCTATTCGTTGGTTTCTTACATCATCGGACTGCTTGAATTGCGCCAACAGTTCCCGCTGTTCCCTTTTCTCCTGCTCTCGCTCTTCTCTTGCAACTCTCAGCTGTCGTTCCGCCTCCAGCAGTTGGTTCTGGGTAATCCGATGGTTACGATCCAGAACCTCGTGGTCGGCGGCTCGTGCGGCTTCCTGTACTTGCCGAACATTTTCGACGAGCTCAAAGAGTGATTCGAGATGTTGCTTCTGGGCGATGGCTTCTTGCCATACTTTCTTATCCAGGACTTGCCCGCCCCCTTGCACTTGTTCCTGGAGGTTTTGTAGCTGCTGCCACATGGCCTGTCCAGCTGTACCAAGATACCTCATTTGTGCCTCATGGGTATCCAAAAACTCCTGCATATTCCTCGTAAACTGGGCATGAGCAGAGCGTTTACTCGATTGCCTAGTTTGTGTAGAGGGTCCTCCCTGGAGTAGGGGATCTGGGCTAGCAGCCCTCGATATTACCATAGAATCTTCCCCGGCCTCCTCATTTACGGCCGAGGTATCTATGAAATAATTATCCCTTCGGGTAGTCATTGTAATAGGGGATAATGATGATAGTTTTTTTTTTTTTTTTTTTTTTTTGAGGTGACTTCGTTACTCCAAGTGAACTTGTGAGTAACAATATACTGTGAAGGATGCGTACCAGACCACAAGAGTACACTACGCAGAGCTCAGAGTTCGGCTAACAGCTACAAAGGTAGAAGTCTCCAAGGTCTCTTCAGTCAACGTCGAGTATGAATCTCCTTGATCCGATACGGGCCCAGCGAGCTACGTTATCAACAAAGATTCACTAGAGTTAGCGTATGATGCTTCGACCGTCTTCGACGTAATAGTTCAGGTAGAGTTCGAAGTCACAATAGAGTAAAGTATTTCCAAAAGTATATTCAAATAAAGTTGTAACTCGCGTATCAACGATTTATATTGTTAAGACTCTGATTTCGCCGATAATGGTTTGGCTAGTCAGTGAATGACACAGTATTTATATCCCTCGCTTATGTCTCGAGGACCCAGTCTACTAATAATACAGAATACACTCGGGGCCTACCCAAGACCCTGAAAAACAACCAAGAACATTTAACTCCTAAGTCCGTAACCCAAACTCCTAAACCCGCTAAAACCCCTCAACCTATTTATCCACTCTAATGCACGTTTCCCTGTCGATGTTTCCTCTCCATCGGCCGTCTGGTGGATAATCGTCAGCGTCGGCTACTCGTAGGTCTCGGACGACAAGGCTACCTACTCAGGCCTCTTCCCACATCGCTTTCCCACATAGCAGAGTCCTCTCATGCCCATAGGTACCGCCGATAGGTACTCGGTCGGCTGGTAGCTTGCGCCGATTCGTTCCGAGTGATCCGATCTTCGATCCGATTGCTTCCAGCTGTTCCTCATATATCCACCGGTACCAAAGCACTCCCCTCCGGCGGTTTGACGCTCCGGGGGTTATTATTGGGGTCGAAAACGTGTTTTTTATGACTCCGTGTTTTGGTCGTATATTGGTCGCACCACACCCCGCGGGTGCGGTCCAGAGTTGACGTTAGCGTGCAGAGGGTATTGGGGTAGCTACTAGCCTTTTCTCATAAATGCTTGGCATGCCCGTAACAACTCATGATAGGCAGCGGGTACTTGTCCTTGACAGTGACCTTGTTCAAACCTCTGTAATCCACGCAAATTCGCAATGTCCCATCCTCCTTAGGGATGAACAATATGGGCGCCGCAGCAGGGCTGTTGGATCTAGAGATCTTTCCTGAAGACAATTCTTTGTCCAGGTACTCTCGGAGGGCCTTCAACTCTGGAGCGGAACATGGGTACAGCGGGCCAAATGGGGGAGTGGTGCCAGGCAAGAGTTTGATTTTCAAATCATTATGGGAATGCGGCGGCATTTCCCCAATCTTCTCTTGACTGAACACATCTGCCCATTCCCGATATAGGTGGTGTACTTTCTCAGCAATATCACCTCCGTCCTCATCATGCCATGCTGAAGCAACCAATTGATAGACTGTCTCTTCTTCTTCCAACATCTGGTATGGAGAGATCAGTTCAATCTTGGTGGCCGCTGGGAGACAATTCTGCTTGCAGTAGTCACTCCTCCAGCTCATGGTGTTGAGTTCCCAATTGATGTCCGGGTTATGCTTCCTAGCCCAACTAATTGGCAGGTAACCGGTCATTCCTTCTTCCAAAGTAGCCACTTCCCATCGGAGTGTCTCCTTATGATCTCCCATAGTCATGCGGACCGGGTGAGTGTAATACTCGCCTCCTCCCATCATGACATCTCCTTGAGCATCAAACATTGTCAGAGGTTGATCCCGCCGCACTAAGGGAATCCCATGTTTTCTGACAAAACTCTGGTTGAGGATAGCTCCTGTACAACCGGTGTCAAACAGGAAAGACCCTTGGGCGCCTTCATCTTTTCCTTTGACCATCCATGACAGTCCTGCCTTCAATATAGGTCTTTTTCCATGTACTGGTAAGGAGGGAAGCCTCTGTTCCAACCTTCTTTGCTTAACAGCGGATTCTAAACTCGTTTCTCTTTGTCTTTTCAACATAGCTAATAGCTTCGGGCACTACTAAGATCAAGGATCCTTTGGTTCTATTCCCAAGCGATAATATAGCAGGTATGATGTGTAGTAGTCTTGGTAGCGGTTGGAAGTGTCTTGGTAGCAAATGTAACTTTGGTAGAGCACTGACAGACCAGCTGTTTCGGGTCTTAAACCCATCCTCAGAGTACTTGAAGCAATCAAATAGGCAGAAACACAATCATAATTTATTCAAGAGAAACATAGAAACCGAGAAACCCATATAAAAGAAAACTAGTAAACATAGACTCAAACAGACACTTTTCTACCAGATGATTTCATTGTCCGAGTCTTGCTCAGGCTGGAAAACAAAATCTTCTGTAACCTCCGGGAGTACAACAAGTGGATTTTCTGCTACAACAGCAGCCACTTTAGCCTTCTTTTGAGAGCTGGACTTGCCATTCCCTCTTTTCCGCTTTTGTACTCTCACTGCTGCCACTCGGACAACAGTAGGTTCCTTGGACCAACAATCGGTCCATTTGTGTCTGGACTTGCCGCACTATTGGACAAGTCAGTCTATGCACTCTACCAATAGGGAGTACCAAAAGGTCATACCTTCAAGCATACTTCTGCTTTCCTTCTTTCTTCTAGAATATCCCCCGGGATACCCTTCAGCTCCACCGCTCTGTCCTTAGATCCAGGGGCCTTCTGAGGACCGGAGGAGCTTGCAGCTTCTCTTTTCCTCTTGGGCTGCTGGTCCTTCTGAGCGGGAGGATCTTTCTTCGTCCGAGGGGGCGCTTTCTCAGCTGCCAACCCTTGGTACCTCTCATGAGTGTGCCCTAACTCTCTGAGAGCAGCTATCCGCTCCATTAAGGACTTTGGCTTGGGATTAAAAAGAGCCCAACTCATGCCTAGGTCCGGAAGGAGGGAATTGTTGATCTTATCATCCACCAACTGACCCTCATAGCCAGTCTTCCACATCAGCTGAATAATAGTATTGAGGAAGAGGTCTATTCCTCCTCGAGCCGTGTGGGTAAGGGTATTCCATTGGGCTACAGCATTGTCTCTGGAGATGGCTTCACCGAAGGCTGCTCTAAAAGCATCCACAAAGGAATCCCAGCGCTTCCATCTCTGTTCTAACTTCACCGGCATTCCAGCAAGACGGTTGGCAGAGGTTTGATCGATTGAGTTGTGGTATGCCTCATACCATCGGATCGCTGTCTCTCCTTCCATCAAGTTGCCTGCATATCGGATTTTAACCTCCTCAGAGGTGAATGATAGGCTCTCAATGGAGAACACATTCTCACATTGACGGATGAAGGTCTCCACTTGCTCCGCTTTGCCCTGGAACTTGGAGGGTGGTGGTGCCTTTGGTTCTCGGGCCCTGGTTGATACAGAAGGGGGAGAGGCGGCCGGAAGTCGGTACTGCTGGGACATCATAGCCAACAGATTTTTCTGCTGCTTCTCCAACTTCTTCTTGAGGTATCTTCGCCAACCTCTCCTGTCACCACCTTCTGGTTCCGAGTCTGAACTGTTAGAACTGTCTGGATCTCCTGGAGCGGGAGCGCGGGCCACGGGAGGTGGAGGGTTCTGGTTTCCACCACTTCCGCCTTGGGCAGCAGCTGGAGGGGCCACAGGTGCTACTGGTGCCGGGTTGCTAGCCAACGGTGAGGTTGGTGCTGCTTGAGCGGCCCCAGGCATAGTGAACCTTCCTGGGTTCCTGGCTAGTGGACTGGGAGGTCCTCGGCCTACACCCGGGAAGAGCTCTCCTTCATAGTCGAAGGATCGGTCGACTCCTCCAAGATATGGGAGTACTCCACTAAAGCGACTGGGAGGTAAGGGAGATGCTCCCACTGCTGGCTGCACAATAGGGATAACTCTCCTAGAGGATCGGACCGGAAATGCTGCGAAGGGACTGGTCTTTCGCTGCATTGTTCTGGTGGCTGCCCTAGAAGAGGATCTGGAGTGAGGATTTGGTGCCGGAGTTCCTGGCCTAGCCACCACCAGCCTTCCTTCATCGAGTGCTCTTTGTATCTCGGCAACAAAGTCTGGTGGGGTGGCCGGATTTTTCCACTCGATCTCCATGGCATCATTATCCAGTTCATCCCTTTGCGCATACTTCCGGAGTTCTTCCTGAACAGAGTTGACCTCCATCTTCATATACTCGAGAGCTTCTGCCATAAGCGCATTCTGTGCTGCCTGGCGCTCTTGAATAAGGAGGAGTGCTTGACTGCCCCGGTGTTACGGGCATGCTAAGCATTTACGAAAAGGCTAGTAGATACCCCAATACCCTCTGCACGCTAACGTCAACTCTGGACCGCACCCGCGGGGTGTGGTGCGACCAATATACGACCAAAACACGGAGTCATAAAAAACACGTTTTCGACCCCAATAATAACCCCCGGAGCGTCAAACCGCCGGAGGGGAGTGCTTTGGTACCGGTGGATATATGAGAGACAGCTGGAAGCGATCGGATCGAAGATCGGATCACTCGGAGCGAATCGGCGCAAGCCACCAGCCGACCGAGTACCTATCGGCGGTACCTATGGGCATGAGAGAACTCTGCTATGTGGGAAAGCGATGTGGGAAGAGGCCTGAGTAGGTTGCTTTGCCGTCCGAGACCTACGAGTAGCCGACGTTGACGATTATCCACCAGACGGCCGATGGAGAGGAAACATCGACAGGGAAACGTGTATTAGAGTGGGTAAATAGGTTGAGGGGTTTTAGCGGGTTTAGGAGTTTGGGTTACGGACTTAGGAGTTAAAGGTTCTTGGTTGTTTTTCAGGGTCTCGGGTAGGCCCCGAGTGTATTCTGTATTATTAGTAGACTGGGTCCTCGAGACATAAGCGAGGGATATAAATACTGTGCCATTCACTGACTAGCCAAACCATCATCGGCGAAATCAGAGTCTTAACAATATAAATCGTTGATACGCGAGTTACAACTTTATTTGACTATACTCTTTGAAATACTTTACTCTATCGTGGCTTCGCACTCTACCTGAACTATTACGTCGAAGATGGTCGAATACCATCCGCTAACTCTAGTGAATCTTTGTAGATAACGTAGCTCGCGGGGCCCGTATGGGATCAGGGAGATTCATACTCGACGTTGACTGAAGAGACCTTGGAGACTTCTACCTTTGTAGCTGTTAGCCGAACTCTGAGCTCTGCGTAGTGTACTCTTGTGATCTGGTACGCATCCCTCACACCCGGGTCAACTGATTCTGCAGGCTGTGCTGAAGGTAGGTCTGGAGCTCTGTGAAGAACTGCTGAAGGGAAATCTCGTCGGTATCTTGCCAGGCAGGCTCACAACCGGGAATATAGGTCTGTAGAGCGGTCCTGGGCTTCTTGACAAACTGTGTCTGCCCGTTGGCATCAAGCTGGAGGGGCACCGGCTGCCATTCAATCTGAAGGGGCACATCCGGAGCTGGGAGGGCGGACATTTTGTATAGAGGAAGAATAATCTGAAGCTGACTTGAGCCTTAAAGATTATCTGTAACGGGGGTCCTTTCTAAGAGAAATGGAATCGGATAGAATAGAGACGGCCGTGCAAGATAGACAATCAGGTTGCAGGTTATTCAAAGATACTATCGCTAGAACTCAATAATCTTTAAGGGCTCTGCTACCGATAAGAACTTGGTTTTTCTTTCTGATGAAGACTCGAGAGAACAGGACTGAAGGGCGGGAATGAACCTGAGTACTTATACTCCGAAGGCCTCTATTCTCTGCTCCTAACTCCTTACTAAGTTCCGGTGAAGCCTTTCCTCGGTCCCGGAAACAATACCACCGCTACCCCGCTTCTCTCTTAAGCGTCAGCAGGTGTTTCCGATACCCAAGGCAACCACCCTTAGTCAAAGTCTTTGTAACACCTGCAGCCTTGGTTGCCACACAACCGAGGGCCTGTATGAATGAGCTGACACTCAGGTGTAAGCTTAATCATTGCTGTAGAGCTTTCGCTTATTGTAGACTTCCCTAGCATAGTCCCTGTCCTTCGGCGGACTCATAATGCTTTAGAGGATACAGAGGATCACCGGCAAATCAGAGCTTCACTCTGGCCGGTCTTCTAGTCACTGGCGAGGCATAGACTCGTCAGTCGTTGCTCCTGTGAATAGATCCCCTTCCTAGCGCCCGGAATGTAGTTACTCTGACAGCTGGTACCTAACCACACTGCCGGTACTTGTATATCACCGTGCAACTGGCTTCTAACAATAACTCTCAGCATGTAACCGGGCCCTGTGTGTACTCATACACCAGACAGTTGAAATGGCTCCGTTACAACATGGAAGGATGTCTTGCTGATCGAGGCACAGAGCTTAGCTTCCCTAAGCTTCTGTAGTACCTTCTTGACCAGTAGCTCATGCTCTTTCTCAGTTTCCGAGTAGATGAGGATGTCATCAATATAGACAACCACTCCTTCATCCAGTAGTTCCTTTAGCACATCATTGATCATTGCCTGGAAGGCGGAGGGAGCATTGCATAGGCCAAACGGCATCACATTATACCGATACAGTCCATAGCGGGTTCTGAAAGCGGTTTTCCACTCATCACCTTCGGCTATCCTGATCAAATTGAAGCCGTTCTTCAGGTCTATCTTTGTGAAGATCTTGGCCTTGAACAACCTGTCCCTGAGCTCACTCATGATAGGCAGCGGGTACTTGTCTTTGACAGTGACCTTGTTCAATCCTCTATAATCCACACAAATCCGCAATGTCCCATCCTTCTTAGGAATGAACAGTATGGGTGCCGCAGCAGGGCTATTAGATCTAGAGATCTTTCCTGAAGACAATTCTTTGTCCAGGTACTCGCGAAGGGCCTTCAATTCTGGAGCGGAACATGGGTATAGCGGGCCAAATGGGGGAGCGGTGCCAGGCAAGAGTTTGATCTTCAAATCATTATGGGAATGCGGCGGCATTTCCTCAATCTTCTCTTGACTGAACACATCAGCCCATTCCCGGTATAGGTGGTGTATTTTCTCAGCAATATCACCTCCATTCTCATCATGCCATACTGAACCAACCAATTGATAGACTGTCTCTTGTTCTTCCAGCATCTGGTATAGAGAGATCAGTTCAATCTTGGTGGCCGCTGGGAGACAATTCTGCTTGCAGTAGTCACTCCTCCAGCTCATGGTGTCGAGTTCCCAATTGATGTCCGGGTTATGCTTCCTAGCCCAACTAATTGGCAGGTAACCGGTCATTCCTTCTTCCAAAGTAGCCACTTCCCATCGGAGTGTCTCCTTATGATCTCCCATAGTCATGCAGACCGGGTGAGTGTAATACTCGCCTCCTCCCATCATGACATCTCCTTGAGCATCAAACATTGTCAGAGGTTGATCCCGCCGCACTAAGGGAATCCCATGTTTTCTGACAGAACTCTGGTTGAGGATAGCTCTGTTACGGGCATGCCAAGCATTTACGAGAAAAGGCTAGTAGATACCCCAATACCCTCTGCACGCTAACGTCAACTCTGGACCGCACCCGCGGGGTGTGGTGCGACCAATATACGACCAAAACACGGAGTCATAAAAAACACGTTTTCGACCCCAATAATAACCCCCGGAGCGTCAAACCGCCGGAGGGGAGTGCTTTGGTGCCGGTGGATATATGAGAGACAGCTGGAAGCGATCGGATCGAAGATCGGATCACTCGGAGCGAATCGGCGCAAGCCACCAGCCGACCGAGTACCTATCGGCGGTACCTATGGGCATGAGAGGACTCTGCTATGTGGGAAAGCGATGTGGGAAGAGGCCTGAGTAGGTAGCTTTGCCGTCCGAGACCTACGAGTAGCCGACGCTGACGATTATCCACCAGACGGCCGATCGAGAGGAAACATAGACAGGGAAACGTGCATTAGTGTGAGGGATGCGTACCAGATCACAAGAGTACACTACGCAGAGCTCAGAGTTCGGCTAACAGCTACAAAGGTAGAAGTCTCCAAGGTCTCTTCAGTCAACGTCGAGTATGATTCTCCTTGATCCGATATGGGCCCCACGACCTACGTTATCAACAAAGATTCACTAGAGTTAGCAGATGGTATTCGACCGTCTTCGACCTAATAGTTCAGGTAGAGTGCGAAGTCACAATAGAGTAAAGTATTTCCAAAAGTATAGTCAAATAAAGTTGTAACTCGCGTATCAACGATTTATATTATTAAGACTCTGATTTCGCCGATGATGGTTTGGCTAGTCAGTGAATGACACAGTATTTATATCCCTCGCTTATGTCTCGAGGACCTAGTCTACTAATAATACAGAATACACTCGGGGCCTACCCAAGACCCTGAAAAACAACCAAGAACATTTAACTCCTAAGTCCGTAACCCAAACTCCTAAACCCGCTAAAACCCCTCAACCTATTTACCCACTCTAATGCACGTTTCCCTGTCGATGTTTCCTCTCCATCGGCCGTCTGGTGGGTAATCGTCAGTATCGGCTACTCGTAGGTCTCGGACGACAAAGCTACCTACTCAGGCCTCTTCCCACATCGCTTTCCCACATAGCAGAGTCCTCTCATGCCCATAGGTACCGCCGATAGGTACTCGGTCGGCTGGTGGCTTGCGCCGATTCGCTCCGAGTGATCCGATCTTCGATCCGATTGCTTCCAGCTGTCCCTCATATATCCACCGGTACGAAAGCACTCCCCTCCGGCGGTTTGACGCTCCGGGGGTTATTATTGGGGTCGAAAACGTGTTTTTTATGACTCCGTGTTTTGGTCGTATATTGGTCGCACCACACCCCGCGGGTGCGGTCCAGAGTTGACGTTAGCGTGCAGAGGGTATTGGGGTATCTACTAGCCTTTTCATAAATGCTTGGCATGCCCGTAACAGCTTACCCCCCTTCCAGGGTGTCACGTCTCGGGACATCTTCTGTGTAACGGGGACTATGGGCGTAGGAACTATGAAGCCAAGGAATACAACCGAGGCGAAGACGTAGAGGTAAGGAGGTTCGTGGACTATGGACTATGGGGCCGAGGTATGCTACCAAGTCGGGAACGTGGACTATGGACTATGGGGCCGAAGGGTACACCTAAGGCAAGGACGGGGACTGTGGACTATGGACTATGGATGGTTGTACCTGGTCTAGTATACCGGGTAAACCCTATGACGTAGCGCGAACCAAATAGTATTCGTGACTGTAAAGAACAGAGGTTGCATAAAGAAAAAAGAGAAAGAAAGAGAAAC